GCGAGAGAGAGGACAAAGAGAGAAAGAGAGAAAGAGGAGAAAGAGAGAGAGAGAGGGGACAAAGAGGGAGAGAGGACAAAGAGAGGAAGAGAGAGAGAGAGAGGACAAAGAGAGAAAGAGAGAGAGAGAGAACAACGAGAGAAAGAAAAAATGAAAGAAAGAGAGGACAAAGAGAGAAAGAAAGAAAGAAAGAAAGAAAGAGAGAAAGAAAGAGAGAGAGGACAAAGAGAGAAAGAAAGAGAGAGAGGAGAAAGAGAGAGAGAAAGGACAAAGAAAGAGAGAGAGAGAGGACAAAGAGAGAGAGAGAGAGAGAGAATAAAGAGAAAGAGAGAGAGAGAGAGAATAAAGAGAAAGAGAGAGAGAGAGAGAATAAAGAAAAAGAGAGAGAGAGAGAGAGAGAGAGACTGACAGAGAGAGAGAGAGAGAGAGGGGACATACATAGAGTGAGAGAGGGGACATACAGAGAGTGAGAGAGGGGACATACAGAGAGAGAGAGAGGGGACATAGAGAGAAAGAAAGCAAGAGAGAGAGAGAGAGAGAGAGAGAGAGAGAGAGAGAGAGAGAGAGAGAGAGAGAGAGAGAGAGAGAGAGAGAGAGAGAGATGGAGAGAGAGAGAGAGAGGAGGACAAAGAGAGAGAGAGGACATAGAGAGAAAGCGAAAGAGAGGACAAAAAGAGAGAGAGAGAGAGAGGACATAGAGAGAAAGTGAGAGAGAGAGAGAGAGAGAGGACAAAGACAGAGAGAGAGAGGGGACAAAGAGAGAAAGAGAAAGAGAGAGAGAGAGTGCACACCTTAGTTGCTTCTTGAATTGACTGTGATGTAGACCCCTGGTACAAAAACACCGATGTCACAAAAGTATGGTGAAAGCTTGAAATCTGATTGATGGATGTAGCCAGCTTGGACAGCCAATCGGAAGCCAGCTGTGGATCCCTGACCAGTCGATCTGAGAACTCCAGTGCTGGTATGAAGGAAACCAGACTGGAAAATGTGCAGCATAAGGTTTCCCAGTGTGCATTACCTGCCCAGAGAGAATTTTGTCAATCAGAATCAATCCTGGTGTTGGTGATGTTATAATGCTTCTCACATAATGTAAAATCATTAAAATCTTTACTATTCTTTTATCTATTCTTGCTGTTTCCTACCACCATGAAACATTTCATATAGAACTTTACTCATTAACCCAATGCCGATGGGTATGACGTGTACATACGTGCTACGCCCACCGTGAGTACTTGTTTGATTGTTTTTACGCATAGATGGCAACACTTGTACTAAATCACCAATGAGCCAACTACGAGTACCGCCTGTCTCGCCCGTTTACCCGTTTCTTTGATTTATGAAATATTTTACGTTATCTTATTTTGCTGTTACTAATGTTAAAAAACATTATAAAAATTATAATGTTTATGATAAAAATAACACCATCGATTTTCATAGCACTAGTGAAAAATATGTTTTTCCCGCCATTTCAAATCAGGCGCTAGCAGAGCCATCTATCGGCAGGCATTTCACGAAAAACATAGAAAGTGGGCACAGCATTTTCCCCAATTTTTGTTAATTTTCCCCGGCGACATTGGGTTGATATACGTAAAAATAATATTTGTGTACACTCATACCTATAAACACAAGTCTTTCCTATTCCATTTGTTACTCTAACTTTACTTCTTTATATATGATTACCAAGCACTTATAACAATATTGCAACAAACCTGCCAACTGGGTATTAGCTGAAGCTTGAGCTGGTGTTGCCTGTATAAGAGATACTACAGCTGCAGCAGCTGTTGTCAGGCCAGGAATACTTGTGCAGGGAGCTGACAACACCTGCAGCAATGATGGCAACAATCTTGCACCAATCAAAGGATTACCATCTTTATTTGAAAGAAGAGTTGCACCTGAATAATAATAAAATATTAATAATAATAATAACAATAATAATGATGATAATAACAATAATATAGAAAAATACATGAGAATATTCTGAGAACAGTGAATGGTCTTAACACATTACATTCACTACAATAGAAACTTTCTTTGCAAGTTTAATCACATCATGTCATTTTGATCACTAAAAAACTAAGTAAAAAAATAAGCATACCTATTTTACTATAGGTCTTACCTAACTTCAGCAGATTTACTTGTAGCTGTCCAGAAGTCTGAGGTATGACCTCTGCCAAAGCACACAGGGTAACATCACATCCTCTTCCTAGGCGGGACACCAGTATGTTCATATATCTCTCTACTGTCCTTGTTCCTAGCCCTTGCTTCTACAGAAGAGAAATACAGAAACAAGTTAATTTATGAATTGTAAACTGCACCTTCTTACTTATACTTTAATTATTTGTTTAAGCAGGAATAACAACTACTTATAAAGTATAATTCAAAATATTAGGCATCATTACTGCACAAAACAAAAATCAAAATATCAATTAGAACTAACCCATGCCAGTGGCACCATCATGACAAGACAAGGCAACAGAGCTGACTGCAGCCTTGCCGAATTTTCAGCTATCGCAATTTCAGTTAGAGCAAGTAGTACCATCATCTTCCTTTCTATGTGATCTTTGCTACTATCCTGTAAGGAGAAATATATTGGAAATCATATTTTTATGAAAAATAAATCATGATTACCCATACTAGTATGGATTTCTATAACTATATCTATATTTATCTATTCATAATGGTATACATAGTTTTCATCATCAACATACTGTATTTTATGCCACATAAGATACTGCATGTGATATGATGCACCCCTTTTTTTTGCCTTTTTTTAGGGGGGTGGGGGGACTTTAGAACTCCCACAAGATATTATTTACAAAATATTTATGTGCTTACATACAGCTTGGATGAGTATTATTTTTTTTTAATCTTCTATAAATCTGTTGTTCAGCATTAACCCAATACTGACAGGTGAAGAAAAGGAAAAGGAAAAAGAAAAAGAAAAAGAAAAAGAAAAAAAATTAACTAGAGATTTGTGGCAAGCGGCAGACACTGAGCGTGGGAGTCCGCAACAGCAAGCACTCTAGATGTCGCCACGCGTACAACCGTTCCCTGCAGACTGAGCAGTTTGTTGTGATGCTAAAAGGCGTGGCCTTTCAGCATTGGGTTAAGGAAATCAATTCAACTGACCCAAGCATTTGTTTACGATGCATCCTTTCACCCCCATATCTGGCACAAGGGGTTACAAACTTACAGTACATACATTCTTCATATTTTTAATTTCAAAAGATATTAGGCAGAAGAAATCAGCATAGCTGAAATTTTGGCATTCAATGGCCTTGCCTAAAAGGAATTTAGGTGTCTTTTGCTGTAAAAAATACAGTATCCACATTTTTATGTTTCATCCTGCATCCTAACTTTAAATAAAACATATAGCACTTACTTTGATAAGAGTAACAATTCTTGATAGCAGAGGAACAAAGTCAAGGCCTAGCTGGGCAGAATGTGAATTCACAATGAGGGCTATGAGAGGCCTAGCCACTGGTAAGGTGTTCTCTGTCATGCAGAATGCATGAAGTACAAGCGGACGGACATGGCAAATACTCAAGGACCTTAATCTGCACAAGAAATAAATCCTTTATGTAATTATACAGTACAGCATTAATATGACTAATGATGACCTAAAACATACAAAAATGTCTAAACTTTGCTTTAGTACTGATTTCACTTGACTAAATTGCAACTACATTGTAATTATAGAACCAACATTTACAATTGTAAAACACTAGGCACTACAAGTAACAGTGACATTTTTTATTGCTAATCATACTTTAAGTAAAATAGAATGAGTTAGGAAAGACGTGAGAAAATCTGCTATGATAATGTCAAATACAAAGATGTGGAATGCTCATTGCACACATATCCTGTGTTAATGTTAACCCCTTGGTGCTGGGTGACGCCGATCGGCGTGTAAACAAAGAGCTCAAAAGCTGGCGTGCAGCCAAATGAGCCGGCGGCGCGCCAAAGCGCGGTGAGCCAGTGATTCGGGCTGATGTCCCCTACTCACGCCGCCTTTGTTTGTTTAAGCGTAGAGTTTTTTTTTTCTTTTGTACACCCGGCGCCATTGGGTTAAAAGAGACACAGTAAAAAAAACAAAAAATCTAATAATAATAATTTTTATTGTTATCACAATGTATATAAAATAATATAAACAGTAAAAAAAAATCACATTTTTATATGCATATTTACATGAGCTCATTTAGAAGACACATGATTTTTCTGTCTAACAGATCATGTAATAAAGGAACTTTGACTTCCCTCAGTTTCCTAAATTAAGCTATCATTAAAGAAAACACTCAAGCCCCTTGCGATCTGGTTTACCTGTTATCTGGATGTCGCAGCAGACTGGCCACTTCCTCGAGGACTGTGGATGTCAGGTCAGGCCGTTTAGTGATGAGTGTGACATATGGGTGGGTTGGGCCTTTGGGGGGGCCTGTAAAAGGGAATTCTGTCTCGCCACTGTTGTCAGACTCACTCTGAGACATTAACACTATCTCTGTGATTCCTTGCACAATAGCTCGAGGAGACCTATAAAGTACAAGAGGTCATCATATTAATAGGAGACAGTAATTTATTGTAATCTTACAAGAAGTAAATAGCAATAAGCAGTGTTAACAGATCATATGTGTATGTGTGGGAGGGGGGGGTGCATGAATGTGTGTGTGTGTGTGTGTGTGTGTGGGTGCATGTGTGGGTGGGTGGGTGTATGCATGTATGGGTGGGTGTGTGGCTAGATGGGCACATGCATGTGTGGGTGCATGTCAGTGGGTGTGTGTGTGGGTACATGTGGATGGGTAGGTGTATGTGTGGGTGGGTATGTGGGTGCATGTGTGGGTGTGTGCATGTGTATGCAGGTGGGTACATATTCATGCTAGTACACACATGAACAGGCATGTGTGTACGGGATTGTATGTTTTTTATCATTTTCTTCTCAAGGGGAAAAAAACTTACTTAGCACACATAATATCAGCCAGGAAGTTTTGCAACGTTGCTGGAACTGGAAGGAAACCAGCTTTGGCAAGCGCTATCAGGATCTCTATGGCTAGCGTTGCCTCAGTCATGTCTCCCTTGTTAGCAGTCTGCCACAGCCATCTAACTTCTTCCCTCTGAAAAATTCAAAAGGTGATCTTGGTATGTCAAGAGATGTTCATATAGAAGGAAGGAAGTGCTAGGAATACCAACAATAGTGAAAAATGTGGGACATAATTTGAGGAGGTGACATAAAAATCAAGCAAAATACTAAAATACTCTCCTTTACAAAGACCAATCTTCGACAAGGCAAAAATCAGGAGAAGAGGGTAAGTACAAAGCAGTGATAAAAACATTTAAGAGAGATACATAGAAAGAAACAGAAAACCAAAAATGAGATAGTTAACAATAACCAATACAAACAGCTGTCAAACTTACATCATACAGGGACTCTCCTTCCTGTACATTTTCAAGCAGTTTGGTATGGAGTTTGGTCACAGCCTGTTGAAAAGATCAGTACATTATATAATACTGTAAAACTCTGGACTTCTGCGTCACTCATACCTCAGAAACAAGATTTCATTTCAAAATACAATTAAAATATATTCTGAACACAATATAATAAGAGAAAAAATAATATAATAAAGATAAAATAAATAAATAAATAAACCTTTCACATCTAAACATTATTAATACAACACACTTTACCTGACTCTGAAGGAACACATTCCCCGAGTTGATCTTCTGCTCATAATCTTCCATCTCCTCCTCTTCTTGTCCACCAATTTATGAACTAAAAATCATAAAGTATGCTGAGAAAGAGAAGGAAAATAGTACACATGAAAAAGTGCAATAATCCTGAATGTCTTCTATTAGATTCCATCATTCTCTAAAGCAAGTTTATTCAATACCAGCTTATGAAAATTATTAATTATATTAGCAGTATTTGATAATTCTCTAAAAAAGATAACAAAAATAAAAAACAAAAAAAATTTAACAATTCGAGAACATTTAACTAAATGTAAGATAAACTATATATCAAGCAAAAGATAAGCATATAATCTTGATATCCATTCAATGTTCAAAAGAATTTACATCTGATGTTCAAATTCCAAACCACAGTATGGATATCTTTTATTTCTTTACATATTTGTTATAATTGTCTGTATTTTCCATTGTTTATTCTTCTTGCTTTACTTAATGTTATTATTGCCGTTTGTCAGTGACAGATAATTATAACAAAGAATAATAATGAATATTCATTACCTTTTATGTTTCATTAAGTTTCCAAAGTTCCTATTACTAGTCATCTTTTCATGAGAATTTACATTTGTTCTGAATTCAAACCATAATAAAGATAATGAAATGAATAGTTTCCTCTGCAGGTTTTGCTAAAAAATCTGATTATTAGTTACTGTTTCCTTGGTTTATAAATACTTCAGAGTATGACATAATTGCACAAATAATAAAAATTATGATATAATTCCTTGTTTAACGACAGATGACACTTGGCTTTCATAAAGTTGAATATCATAAGAAATGATATTCACAAATAAGATCTAAACTATCCCAAAAATCTTTCTCACAAATCCTGAAAATATAATTAATTACTGGGAAGGAAATCAAAGAAACAAGCACAATGAGACTTTTGTCATTACAAAATACCAATCAAATGTGTCCCTTTAATTTCACACACGTAAAATAAACACCAAAAGTTACCTCACAAGTACAAACAAGTCCAAACACGACACAGAAAATAAACAAAAAAACAAGGAAAAACACACCAGCTTAAACACGATACAAGGAACAAGTGAACTGAAACCAAAGCCACATTTCAGGCTAGGATTTCCAGCCCTCGAAACCACCTCAAGGTTTGTTTTAGTTCTTATTAAGTTCTTATTTAGTTCTTATTATTTAGTTCTTATCTTTTCCTAAAAAAAACATTAGAATAGGTAGTGATTTTAGGAGAAAAAATAGGGTATTTCTGGGAGATTTATAGACCTATGGAATTTGGATTTTAAAGTGTCTTTTAAAGGGAATAATTCCATGCAAGATTGATGAAAGACTATAATGTTAGAATAACTGGTATTTCATTAATTATAAATATCGAATAAATACGGCACTTTTTCACGTAATAAAAAAATATGTGAATTGCAAAAACCATCGGACCGGCATTGAATTACAGCTCAAGAGATCAACATATGCTAGTAAGCTAGTATTAGTAAGTTATTATAAGTAAGTATAGGTAAGTATAAGTAAGCTAGTAAGTATAGTAAGTATAAGTATAAGTATAAGTATAAGTAAGTGTAAGTATAAGTATAAGTAAGTATAAGTATAAGTAAGCTAGTATTAGTAAGCTAGTAGCTAGTAACCTCTGAGTATTTTGAGCTAGTAACAGGCTTGCTATTGATGAACTAGTACTTACTAATCAATTTACATGGATAATTAACACAGGTGAAGGGGTTAATTAGGACTAGACGTAATTTTAAGATTTTTGGAACAAGAACGTACGTGTTGATGGCACCCCGCGTC